TTGCCTACATATTATGTTCTTAAGTTATCCTATGTACTTATATATACACTATAATGTATATACTTTGGTATGTTTTACATAGATTGGTGTGTATTGGCCAATGACCTACACATATACATGTATACAGAGTATCATTGACCTTTGGTTACATCAGACACGTGACCTCTATTCCCCCAAACCCAATACCGGAAGTAACTAACGTCATACGTCAAATGTTTGAACTGGGAAATACTAAAAACCGAACTAAAACACAATAGAAAGCAAACAAGGCACACATACACACTTTACCGTAAAACTTGGATACCATGAGCTTTATGTAAGAGAAAAAAAAACCAACGACACAAGAGCAAAAACTAAATTTGGAACGTCTACGTCTTTGGTACGTGTACCACCTGGCCATGCTCATCAGTGACGTCACGTTTTATAATTTGCTCATTAGAGGTTATTTACGACCTCTGTAGGGGATATACCCGTAGTTTGTCTATGAAATAGGGGAGAAACCATGGTGTAGGTAACGATGTAATGGGGATCTATGCACTAGTTTATGGTGTAATGGGGATCTACGCACTAGGTAATGATGTAATGGGGATCTATACACTAGTTTATGATGTAATAGGATCTATGCACTAGTTTATGATGTAATGGGGATATATGCACTAGGTTATGATGTAATGGGGATCTATGCACTACTTTATGATGTAATGGGGTATGCATTAGGTAATGATGTAATGGGGATCTATGCACTAGGTAATGATGTAATGGGGATCTATGCACTAGATACTGATGTAATGGGGATCTATGCACTAGTTTATGATGTATTTATGAAATTGTACATAATGCACCCGTAGGTGCGGGGTGGTCTGGAGGGGGAGGGGATGAGTGCAAAAAATCCTGAGCTCAGACCCCCATGCAGATGAAGCTCGTTAGCAGGGGACAGCATCCCATCTAGGAGAGATAACTCCCACAACAAACACCTGCTGGGTTGTAGATAGTTCTTGGCAGTGGCGTAGCCAGGATCGTCTCAAGGAGGGGGGGGGGGTGTTCCAATTTTGATTTGCACCCCCCCCCCCCCTCAAACTTTATATATATACCGATGTAATGGGATGTAATTGGGGATATATGCGCTAGTTAATGGATGTGATGGTAAGTCACCATCTTGCTGTCCTCTTCAAATACTCATTACATACACATTAAAGTAGGATAGTCTTTAACGTCGTCCCCCCTCCCCATTCAGAGACCTACCCCCTTTTTCATGCAGGGTCTCGAGCTTAATTCACCCCCAGGATAATGTCGCAAGTCCTACCCCAGTTCTGGGATAGGGGTCGCAAGTCCTACCCCACTTCTGGGATAGGGGTCGCAAGTCCTACCCCACTTCTGGGATAGGGGTCGCAAGTCCTACCCCACTTCTGGGATAGGGGTCGCAAGTCCTACCCCACTTCTGGGATAGGGGTCGCAAGTCCTACCCCACTTCTGGGATAGGGGTCGCAAGTCCTACCCCACTTCTGGGATAGGGGTCGCAAGTCCTACCCCACTTCTGGGATAGGGGTCGCAAGTCCTACCCCACTTCTGGGATAGGGGTCGCAAGTCCTACCCCACTTCTGGGATGGGGGTCGCAAGCCCTACCCCAGTTCTGGGATGGGGGTCGCAAGCCCTACCCCACTTCTGGGATGGGGGGTCGCAAGCCCTACCCCACTTCTGGGATAGGGGTCGCAAGTCCTACCCCAGTTCTGGGATAGGGGTCGCAAGCAACGTTCCCTCTAAGGGCGAAAAGACAGTGTGCAACACGTATTTTCTGTTCACGCTGTTATAAAAGTCTCATAAAAGGATATATTTATTTTACTAAATCACTGCGCGGCAGCTCAAAACTACTGCGCGGCCACGCACCCGCGCAGCTTTGAGGAAACATTGGTCGCAAGCCCTACCCCACTTCTGGGATAGGGCTTGTGTATTTAAACGTTCATTAAAAACGAGTCAAGCCAACGTTAAGTAAACTATAAAGGCTTAATATGAGATAAAGATATGAAGGCTGAATATGAGACCGAGATCTGAAAGCTGAATGATAAAGATCTGAAGGCTATGAGATAAAGATCTGAAGGCTGTGAGATAAAGATCTAAAGGCTGAATATGAGATATAGATCTGAAGGCTATGAGATAAAGACCTAAAGGCTGAATATGAGATAAAGATCTAAAGGCTGAATATGAGATAAAGGCCTGAAGGCTGAATATGAGATAAAGACCTAAAGGCTGAATATGAGATAAAGACCTAAAGGCTGAATATGAGATAAAGATCTAAAGGCTGAATATGAGATATAGATCTGAAGGCTATGAGATAAAGACCTAAAGGCTGAATATGAGATAAAGATCTAAAGGCTGAATATGAGATAAAGGCCTGAAGGCTGAATATGAGATAAAGATCTAAAGGCTGAATATGAGATATAGATCTGAAGGCTATGAGATAAAGACCTAAAGGCTGAATATGAGATAAAGATCTAAAGGCTGAATATGAGATAAAGGCCTGAAGGCTGAATATGAGATAAAGACCTAAAGGCTGAATATGAGATAAAGACCTAAAGGCTGAATATGAGATAAAGACCTAAAGGCTGAATATGAGATAAAGATCTAAAGGCTGAATATGAGATAAAGACCTAAAGGCTGAATATGAGATAAAGACCTAAAGGCTGAATATGAAATAAAGATCTAAAGGCTGAATATGAGATATAGATATGAAGGCTATGAGATAAAGACCTAAAGGCTGAATATGAGATAAAGATCTAAAGGCTGAATATGAGATAAAGACCTGAAGGCTGAATATGAGATAAAGACCTAAAGGCTGAATATGAGATAAAGATCTAAAGGCTGAATATGAGATAAAGATCTAAAGGCTGAATATGAGACAGAGATCTGAAGGCTGAATTAGCAATCTGTCTAGTAGAAGGGTGGAGGGGGGGGGGGGGGGGGTCACACCAGTTCTAATCCAAGTTAAGGGCAGGTTAAACCCCCCCAAAATACATATTTAAGTCAGAAATGTTGATTTTTGAAAATCTATTGTTTATGAAACTACATTCAATTCTGAACATTTTTGTATAATCATTTTGCAAAATGTCGTAGTGCTAGTATTTTTTATAATTTTTTAATTGAGAGTAATGACGTAATTGACCTATATTAAGCAACATTTAGCAACATAAAATTAAAAACTAACTAAAATAGATGTTCTTATTGCTGAGTAAGAGGCTCCAGATGCAATTTATGTAACTTGGAGGTTTTAAAAATGACTTATTTGGTATAGTTTTCGCTTTTTCTCGTTTTTTTCAAATTTAGTATATTTTTCACTATTTAGCGTTTTTCTCAAAATGTTACTTTTCAACAAAATTATACTAGTTAAATCACTATAACTCAAAAACTACTTGAGATATTTAGCTGAAATTTTGCACACATGTTTACTAAACACTGCTTGCAAAGTTGAACTAAAATAATATCTATATCTTTAAAACGTCTCATTTTATAAATAAATAGTTAAGTCTACTCCCTACTTTTTGGAAATTTTTTAGGTCTCTCAATTTAAAAATTTGGCTAAAATCCATTTTTTTTATTATTTTCTAATTGTTTTAGTTCAACTTTTGTTAATTGCGTATATTACACTATGTTAAAGATTTGAGTTATTCTGACAAACAGAAGCTGTGTTATTTTGATTTCAATGAGAGCTAATTTTGAGTTATTTTACCCTAAAAATGACACTTTTTAGAAAATATTTTCACAAAACCATAACTTTTTAGTGATTTTTTTGCATTTTTTTCATATACTATGTTAGTTACAACTTCCTTATCACTCAAAAAAGTCCTAACACCCAAATTTCAATTTGGGGGTTTAACCTGCCCTTAATCACCCATAAAGCCGCACTACTAAGGCGGGCAACTTGTCAATCCCACAACCCGAAAGTGAACGATGCCATTATGTAATTTTTTTCACATACCCATGCCACCTTTACTTTTGATTTTTTTCTTTGATTAGTTATTTCAGTGTGTCATTCATATCTTAAATAAATGAATAATTAAAGAGAAACATTAACATTACATCTAGTTTTTAAATTGTACCCATAGATTCTTTTTTTTTTGTTGTTGTAGGTGACTCAAGACATTGAATGACTGCGCCCATTGAGAATGTAAAGAAACAAATAAACAAACAGCCTGGAATAGAAGCAGACGACCACAGGTGATGACCGTTTGAATAAATTCTTTGTCGATGAATGGATTCGGCTGATACATGACCACTCCTCATGGTGCCAGCCGTTTGTCTGCGAGGGCTATTGGTCTCCAAGTGGCCTCATTCTACCATTGGTAGAGCCATGAGATCGTTACTATGATTGGTCAGCTTTAGCCATAAGATCGCTGAGCCCTAGGATAATTTCATTTGTCAGCTAGAGCCCTAGGATAATTTCATTGGTCAGCTAGAGCCCTAGGATAATTTAATTGGTCCGCTACAGCCGTATGACCCCCGTTACGGGTCAGCTAAAGCCCTCAGATGACCCCTATCACTGGCCAGCTAGAGCCCTAAGATCGCCACTATGATTGGTCAGATAGAGTCCTAAGATCGCCACTGTGATTGGTCAGTTAGAGCCCTAAGATCGCCACTGTGATTGGTCAGTTAGAGCCCTCAGATCGCTACTGTGATTGGTCAGTTAGAGCCCTAAGATCGCCACTGTGATTGGTCAGTTAGAGCCCTAAGATCGCCACTGTGATTGGTCAGTTAGAGCCCTCAGATCGCCACTGTGATTGGTCAGTTAGAGCCCTAAGATCGCTACTGTGATTGGTCAGCTAGAGCCCTAAGATCGCTACTGTGATTGGTCAGTTAGAGCCCTAAGATCGCCACTGTGATTGGTCAGCTAGAGCCCTAAGATCGCCACTGTGATTGGTCAGTTAGAGCCCTAAGATCGCCACTGTCATTGGTCAGCTAGAGCCCTAAGATCGCCTCTCTACCATGTCTGCCCCTCCCTCCCAGCGTGTAGCTAGAGCCGCCATTGCCGTCTACCTACTGGTCTTCACGCTCTCAACAATCAACTCCGTCCCCACCCCCAACAACGTCACTTCCGACCCCACCCCCAACAACGTTACACCCGTCCCCATCCGTAGAAACACCACCCTCTTCCCCAACCCCAACAACATCAAATCCGTCCCCACGGCCCGACACCCGGGCTCTATGAAATGCCAGAAGTTCAACACCACCGCCAACATCTCCATCGAGGACATGAAACCCATCACCATCACCATGGCGCTCATCGCGGGGGTCGGCATGCGAGGGGACGGGATGATCTACGGCGGCACCTTCATGTTGGCACTGGACGAGCTGAAGCAACAGGCCAATGCCAGTAAACTTCCGGTCACCTTCGACTACATCTTGAGCAACGTCAGCAACATGGAAGTGGAGACCATCAACCGGATGTTGGAGCTGGGCTGCAAGAAGAACGTCTCGGTCTTCATCGGACCTCAGGGGTTCTGTAAGACCGCCGGCATCGTCGCCACGTCCATGTCCAAGCCGTACATCGGATATGTGAGTACAATTTTGTTTAGTGTTTTTGTCTTATATTAGTGAGTAGAATTTTGTTTCGTGATTTTGTCTTATATAAGTGAGTAGAATTTTGTTTCGTGATTTTTGTCTTATATTAGTGATTAGAGTTTTGTTTCGTGTTTTTGTCTGCCTAAATTTGTGAGTAGAATTTGATTTCCTGTTTTTGTCTTATTTTAGATTTGTGAGTAGAATTTCGTTTCGTGTTTTTGTCTTATATTAGTGAGTAGAGTTTTATTTCGTGTTTGTGTCTTATTTTAGATTTGCGAGTATAATTTTATTTCGTGTTTTTGTCTTATATTAGATTTGTGAGTAGAATTTTTTCCCGTGTTTTTGTCTTATTTTAGTGAGTAGAGTTTTATTTCGTGTTTTATTCTAACTACATTTGTGAGTAGAATTTTATTTCGTGTTTTAGTCTGACTACATTTGTAAGAAATTCATATAGTTTTTTCTTCTGACTTTAGATTTGTGAGTACAATGTTATGTGGTGTTTAGGTTGACTTTAGACTTTTAAATAGTGTTTCAATCTGACTATGTTGTAGCTTAAGATATTTTGTAGTTATTTGTATAAAAAATAAAATAAATACAACTAATACCGGATATGTTAATAAGATTGCTATTTTTGGGTGAGATTTAAAACGTCCTGTAGTGAATAAGGGAGGGTGGGGGTTTGGGAGATCAAACTTATTGCAGGAAATTGTAGATAAAAAAAGGTTAATGAATTCAATCGGGAAGTTCCTTTGAAAGTGAAAAGATTGCTTAAATCATTCCGTGATATTCTAGTAGTTGTATGTAATGAGCAGAATAGACTTATTAGCAATACATTCAAAATACAAAAGTGCACATACAATTTGCCAGTGGTAAACTTATTTTGCAAATCCATGTCGGAGATAAGCTAAAACGGTTTAACCCATAAAGGGAACGTGCATTAACGCATTTCAAATCTTTATCGCCTTTCTACGTTCACTTTAAGTGCGAAACATTTCTCCGGCGAAGATTTAAATTCCTGTGGTCTAACACCGCGGTTACACTTGCGATATGTATAGCCACCATACAGGTTTAGAAAAATAATGCGGGAGTGATCTCCCCTAAACTTTCTGGGATATTCTTATATAAAACTTCGGGGGATAGCAACTTGCCATAAAGACATGATTTTTAATCAATTTTAAATACTTAAACTAATTAAAATAGAATAGTGCGGAATATTAGTACTTTATAAATTCATGTGTTTTTTGAGAAATCGTAAAGTACAACTTCCCGTCACCGGAAATTACTCAAAATTTGACAGAAAACATCGAATTAGATCTTTTGCTTATATGTGAAATTAATAGATAACTACAAATTTGGTATTCATGACATTTCATCAAACTAGCTTTAAAGGTACCCAAGTTATAGTGTTCCGAGACATACACACAGAAATACAGACAAGATTGCACATTTTAGTTTTTCCGACACGATGACACATAAAATTCCAAAATTTTTGCTGTATTTAGAATTTTTGCCCGATTAAAATAAGTCCCCTATACTCTGTATGTGATGAAGTACTGAGGTGTAAAACGGTGAAAACTGTCGAAATTTCTCTGTATACGAGAAAGTAAAAAAAAACTTTGCAATAGTAGGCACCCCAATTAAGTTCTGATAAAATTAGCTTATGGCGAAGTTTATTTTTCTAGACGTGTACAGTATACTTGTCGCTAGTGAAAACGCGTTGTAAAAGGACATACAAGTTTCATTCACTTGTGAAATAATAAAAAAAAAACGGTTGTCTTAACGACGGTAACCGTTGCTGTGTATGTGCAGTATGCGAATGTTATGTGGGTAGAGTTGATGGGATTAAATTGAACATATTTTTAATTTAAAAAAAAATTAAATCAATGTCGTGCAAGGGTTTGAATTTTTTTTTTTTTGGAATAAAAGTGCATTTAGATAATTAGGAAATGAAATTTTGGAGTGTTGAAATTACTGTAGCTTGATCAGCGTCGATATGGAAAAATAAACTCCTAGATTTAGTGTAGATTTTTGGACTAAGCTAAGACACCTAGACTACTTTGGGACGCTTTAACAGATCTACTTATATACTAAGCTAAGACACCTAGACAGATCTACTTATATACTAAGCTAAGACATCTGGATTACGCCGAGACACCTACCGTAAGCTGACACTACCAACCCAAGACACCTGTACAACCCGAGGCACCTAGACCAACAGGACACACATAACCAACCTGAGGCGCATAGACAGACACGATGCACATATACCAACCAGATGCACGTATACCAACCCGAGACATCTAGAATCTAGACCAACCCAATACATCTAGACCAACCCTAGACACATAAGCCAACCCGAGACACATAGACCAACCCGAGACACAGACCAATCCGAGACATATAGACCAACCAGACACACATAACCAACCAGACACACATAACCAACCAGACACACATAACCAACCCGAGACACATAGACCAACCCGAGACACATAGACCAACACTAGACACATAGACCAACACTAGACACATAGACCAACACTAGACACATAGACCAACACTAGACACATAGACCAACACTAGACACATAGAACAACCCTAGACACATAGACCAACACTAGACACATAGACCAACACTAGACACATAGAACAACCCTAGACACATAGACCAACCCGAAACACATAGACCAATCCAAGACACACATAAAACCAACCCGATGCACATAAGACGAACCCGAGACACACAGACCAACACTAAGACACACCGACCAGACATAATAGTCCAACAAAAAACTCGAGTATCGTCTAACTGAAGAAAATGTCCTAAAATAGTCCGCCTCGTTTAACGTCTTTTAGGCGGACGCATCTGTAAATTACGACAGCAATTAACGAAACAAAGGTGTCCATTGCATCATTAGGACTAATTAGTCGGTTACTAAGGTCAACAATAAGGGTTGTTGACTGGTTTCCATTTACAGGAAGTAATTTAAATAAGGCAAGGACAAACGTCTTAATAATAACAAAAACATCAGATATACACAAACAAACATCTTTATAATAACGAAAACATAAGACTGATACAAACGTCTTAATAATAACAAAAACATTAGATATACACAAACGTCTTTATAATAGCAAAAACAGTAGACGAACACAAACATCTTTATAATAACAAAAACAGATATACACAAACATCTTAATAATAACAAAAACATTAAACTGATACAAACATCTTTATAATAACAAAAACATCAGGTATACACAAACATCTTTATAATAAAAATATTAGACCGACACAAACACTTTTATAATAACAAAAACATTAGATATACACAAACGTCTTTATAATAACAAAAACAGTAGACGAACACAAACATCTTTATAATAACAAAAACAGATATACACAAACATCTTAATAATAACAAAAACATTAAACTGATACAAACATCTTTATAATAACAAAAACAGATATACACAAACACTTTTATAATAACAAAAACAGTAGACTGACACAAACATCTTTATAATAACAAAAACAGTAGACAAACACAAACATCTTTAAAATAACAAAAGCACTAAAACAATTTTAAAGTATGTATCATCTCCAAAGTATGAAATCCATGGTTATTATTTCCAAGATAAACGTATTTTTCCTTTTTTACTTTCTCGTATATACGAATGATAGAGAAAGTCTTGTAATCGTGAATTTTTTTTAGAGATTTTTGCAAATCTCGACGTTTTACAGCTCCTTGAGTCGGAAAAACATAGTTTTGCAATCTTGTCCGTATGTCTCTGTGTGTTAGTGTATGTGTGTGTGTCTGTGTGTGTTGATAAAATTTTATATATAAGTATTATATCAAAATCGTAGATCCGTATCAACTTTTGAGCGATTTCTGATAACCGAAAGTGGAACTTTTTCTACTTTGAATTTTTTCAAAAGCCTATAACTTGAGTACTTTTTCAGATAGATTAATGAAATTTCACATGTAAGTAAAATATCTAATTCTCTGCCTTCTTTCGAATTTTGATTAATTTCTGTTGACCGGAAGTAGTAATTTTCGCTATTTCCGATTTCTCAAAAAATGCACGTGAATTTATAAAGTACTAATAATATTCCGCACTATTATGCACATTTTATTTGGCGTTCAATTGTTGTGCAATTCTTTTTTCTACGAGTTTTTATTCTATTTAAAAAAAATTAAGTATTTAAAATGGATTAAAAATAAGGTCTATGTCCCGAATTGCCATCCGCTGTTGTTTCATATAAGAATATTCGAGAAAGTTTAGGGGAGATCACTCCCAGTTTATTTAAAATTCATATTAACTTTTATTTTTTGTCTATATATATTAAATTGAAATTCAGACTCTCTTGTTTTGTCCATCGATGTCTTTATATGCAGAGACTGGTAGAATTCGGTCAAAATTGAGTCCGAAGGTTTGACAGTTTACTTTAAGAACAGCGTATATCTAAGAGCCTTCATTCAGAACAGCTATCGGCATAGAAAGTTTTTTTTATAGTTGACATGAACGAAGCAAACATCTTTTGATAAATTTTATTAATGGCAAGAAAATTCGCGTTCTATTTTTCATACCCGCTTCGATTATACCGGCGATTTATTCAAGAGGTTTTTAAATGTAAGCAGAGCAGGTTCGTTACAAAGTAACACAGCACACACACACACAAAAAAAGAATAAATCACACCAATGTTTTGAACAGTGTTTCTTACAGACTTTTTTCTCCGGGGGGTGGGGGGGGGGTGGGGGTGGGGAAGGCATGCCCGGAAGAAACTCTGGTTTTGAAAAGCGTGCCTTGGGACTAATTCTAGGAATAACGCTCCTGATAGGACTAGACATTTAGGCATTTAGAAAACAATTTCTTTTGATTTTATCAGTTAAATGTTTCATTGAATAGTGTTTTTTTTATTACTGCTAATAAAAACGTTCGTGGTAGGTGTAAAAATAAATGTGTAGATGGAAACTAAATAGCTTAACGTGGTGTGTATGGACTTCTGCGAAATGGCAAACACACACAGGTCTAAATGTATACGTCTGTATGTACACATGTTCATCTGCACACGCATATACATCTCAGTTTGAACATGCACGCCAGTATGCACATGCTAGTCTGCAAACACACATATCTTCTGCTTATAGATGTCAGTCTGTACACACATGTCAACAGATGCGTAAACAATGTCAATATGTACACATATCTATACGTACACACACCTATATGTACACACATGTCAAAACGTACACATATCTATATGTACACACATTGTATGTACACACATGTCAACATGTACATATCTACATGTACACACATGTCAATATATACACATATCTATATGTTCATACATGTCAATATGTACACATATCTATATGTATACATATGTCAGTATGTACACACATGTCAATATGTACATACATGTCAATATGTACACATATCTATATGTATACATATATCAGTATGTACACACATGTCAATATGTACACACACATGTCAATATGTACACACACATGTCAATATGTACCCACACATGTCAATATGTACACACACATGTCAATATGTACACACACATGTCAATATGTACCCACACATGTCAATATGTACACACACATGTCAATATGTACACATATCTATATGTACATACATGTTGATATGTACACACATCTATCCGTACACACATTTTATGTATACACACGTCACTCTGTACCCACATCTACCTGTACACTGTACACCCCTCCCCAGGGTTGCGAGGAGTCAGTCATGCAGAGCGGCAACCTGCTGTACATCCACACCAAGTCCAGCATCCTGCACGTCGCCAAGTATGTCGTGTCCGTCATGACGCACTTCAAGTGGACATCCTTCTGGCTGGTCAGGGGCAATAGCATCATCTACACGGAGACCGCTGATAGGATAGAACATTTAGTTGCTGATATGAACATTACGTGAGTTTACAAGTCTTATAGATCATTTAGTTACTGATATGAACATTACGTGAGTTCACATTTCTTATAGAACATTTAGTTACTGATATGAACATTATGTGAGTTTACAAGTCTAATAGAATATTTAATTGCTGATATGAACATCACGTGAGTTCACAAATCTTATAGAGCATAATGTAGGAACACTGTGTGAGTTTGCAATGCTTATAGAGCATTATATAAGAAAATTACGTGAGTTCATACATCTTATAGAACTTTTCTTATAGAACATTATGTAGTAACATTACGTGAGTTCACACATTTTATAGAACATTATGTAGCAGATAGAAACATTACTTTTAAAGTTGTTCAATTTGAGCTATTGTTTGAATGACCATTGCTATGCCAATCTCCGTTTGATCATTTTATGTGTGATGTACCCTGGTTACCTATTGGCCGGTGACCTCAGAGTTTGTATCTCAGAATATTTTTTCTCAGAAAAATAAATTCTATCCCATCCATGTTATCTCACAATCCTCACGTTTTTTGATAACATGATTCAATCCCAGAATAAAAAACAATTCTATCTAATCCATGTTATTTCACAATGCACGCTATCTTTGATCACGTGATTTAATCCCAGAAAAAAAAACAATCCTATCCCATCCATGTTATCTCACAATCCTCAACATTTTTGATCACATGATTCAATCCCAAAAGATAACAACAATTCTATCCCATCCATGTTATTTCACAACACACGTCATCTTTGATCACGTGACTTATGAATATATCCCATCCATGTTATTTCACAACACACGTCATCTTTGATCACGTGACTTAATCCCAGAATAAAACAACAATTCTATCCCATCCATGTTATTTCACAACACACGTCATCTTTGATCACGTGACTTATGAATATATCCCATCCATGTTATTTCACACTACACGTCATCTCAGATCACGTGACTTAATTCCACGATTCCGCAGGATGAAAGACCAGTCCGTGGCCGAAGAGAACGACGAATACATCCCAGCCATGTTCTTCCAGACGTCGAAGTACAGAAAAATTATCGAAGAGTCCAGGAGAGAAACCAGAGGTTAGAGCACACTTACTGTTGGCTGCAAGGGGCGACCGTCAATGACGTCAATAAAGGCGTCGCGAGGCGGGGGCGGGGATGCGGTGCGGACCGGGTGACACCATTTAGGGGTTGACACCATGGCGAAAACTTGCAAAATATGTAGAAGAAATATGTTTTTTGTCAGTTCAATTAAGGGTTAATTAGAATTAATCCACGTGTGTTAGTAACTGACTATAGATAATCATCTTTACTATTAACTGTGCACACTTTACAATTAAAAATTATCACCCGGTGTGTAATTTGTTTGGGGGGGGGGGGGGTGACACCGTGTGGTGCGATACCGGATAACACCCGGCCTCGCAACGCCACTGGACGCCAATCTACTTTAGCCAAATTTGACCTCTATTTTAGCCAAGTTTGACCTCTACTACATGCCCTCACAGTAAAGCCACGCCATCCATCTAAAATAATCTTTTCCATTTTTTTTTATCCCAACCCTCTGCACTTAACCTAACGAAAACAGAATTCAACCCGTTCATTTTATCTTCCGCCCCCTCCACCAAACTAAGGCGTGTGACGTCATTTATTGGCCTTTTTCTCTACGAATTAAACATTGTATAAGCAAGAAAAGTCTATGTAATTATATTAAATTTTTAAAAAATCTGTAAAAAATATGGCCAGCGATAAAATTATAGCTACGTTTGTAAAAATAAAAGCCGTTTGGGAACCATCGATTATACTAATTTATATATATTTTTTGTATCGAATATAAGCCGTTGAAAAGCCGTTTAGAATTATTTTATCAATTCAAACATTTTCAAAAACTGCCCTCAACCTCTCTTTGAAGTCAACAGGAAATCAACACCATGACTCTACTAATCCAAATTAGATAAAAGTGTTTGCTAAATTACTATTATATTACTAATGATTATTTCTTTGACTATTTCTAGCCTTAATGAAACCGGAAGTAATTTTGTACTTATTATACAAATGTTATATAATATTCAATTTTGGCTGAAAAATATGCTTTCTGGCACCAATAAATAAACAACAAACATTTTTGAAGGGATGTTGAGATGTTAAGTGGGATCGTTACAATAAATATTTCACTTTCAACTTATTTCACATTTGATACTCTTGCGAATATCGATAATCGTGTAAAAATGGCGTATCATTTTCTAAGAGCTTTACTAATTTTTTTTTCAATACCTTGATTTAAAAAAAATAGGATAGAAAATTGTAGAAAAAAATATTACAAATTATATGAATTCTACAAATGTGCGTATAATAGCTTGTAAAATTATCACTTTATATAAAGAAACTTCAGTATATTTACTTTTAAAATTCAAGATTGTTTACACGTTTGTATATTTACCTTTTTTGTTTGTCGGTATTCCTTGATCAGAGCATCTAAACTCTGAGTAGAACTTTAATACGTATTTATGTAAAGGAAAATCTTCAAAAAAAAATATTTAGACACAAATTTGTTTAAAGAGGTTTATAAAATGAATGATATATTCATAAGTAAAAATGTATTGGTTTCTGTTGTGCAGCGCAGTCGACTCTCCGTTTTCCAACGGGTAACTGAGTCGTCTAGTGTATTTAAAAAAAAAAATTAAGCATCTATTTGAGTCAACTTTTTATTACATTATATATATATATATATATATATATATATATATATATATATATATATATATATATATACCATTCCAGTGTATGTATACCTGGGGAGCCCCGGAAGCCTAATGCATTTCCTAATGGAGCTGAGTAACGTCTCGGAATCCGGAGAGTATGTCGTGTTGGCGGTTTCCGACTCGGAACTGCCGGAGCCATTTTACAAGTGTAAGTGGACATTTTCTATCAGAACTATTTTATACATGTACATGGACATTTTCTATCAGTACTGTTTTATACATGTACATGGACATTTTCTATCAGAACTATTTTATACATGTACATGGACATTTTCTATCAGTACTGTTTTATACATGTACATGGACATTTTCTATCAGAACTGTTTTATACATGTACATGGACATTTTCTATCAGTACTGTTTTATGCATATACATGAACATTTTCTATCAGAACTGTTTTATACATGTACATGGGCATTTTCTATCAGAACTATTTTATACATGTACATGGACATTTTCTATCAGAACTATTTTATACATGTACATGGACATTTTCTATCAGAACTATTTTATACATGTACATGGACATTTTCTATCAGAACTGTTTTATACATGTACATGGACATTTTCTATCAGTACTGTTTTGTACATGTACATGGACATTTTCTATCAGAACTGTTTTATACATGTACATGGACATTTTCTATCAGAACTATTTTATACATGTACATGGACATTTTCTATCAGAACTTTGTTATACATGTACATGGGCATTTTCTATCAGTACTGTTTTATACATGTACTTGGACATTTTCTATCAGTACTGTTTTATACATGTACATGGACATTTTCTATCAGAACTGTTTTATACATGTACATGGACATTTTCTATCAGAACTGTTTTATACATGTACATGGACATTTTCTATCAGAACTATTTTATACATGTACATGGACATTTTCTATCAGAACTGTTTTATACATGTACATGGACATTTTTTATCGGTGCTATTTTCCAGTGTAGGTGGACAATTATGTTAGAGCCTGTTTATAAGTATTTTAAGAGTAAGCGAACGAGAATATGTGGACACAGGTCGCGATGACTGGGTGTGGGCACAGGTCGCGGTGACCGTATGTAGACACAGGTCGCGGTGACCGGATGTTGACACAGGTCGCGGTGACCGGATATACTCAGGTCGTGGTGACCGGATGAGGACACAGGTCGCGGTGACCGGATGTTGACACAGGTCGCGTGACCGGATGTACTCAGGTGGCGGTGACCGGATGAGGACACAGGTCGCGGAGACCGGATGTGGACACAGGTAGCGGTGACCGGATGTGGACACAGGTCGCGGAGACCGGATGTGGACACAGGTAGCGGTGACTGGGTGTGGGCACAGGTCGCGGTGACCGTATGTAGACACAGGTCGCGGTGACCGGATATACTCAGGTCGCGGTGACCGGATGAGGACACAGGAAGTGGTGACCGGATGTGGACACAGGTCGCGGTGACCGTATGTAGACACAGGTTGCGGTGACCGGATGTTGATAAAAGATCACGTTGGTCCATGAAGCGTCCTAAGAGTTTTCCTCAACTTCCAAGGCGCTTGCAACAAGCTAGGAACAGAGAAAGATGTTCTCACACAACTGTACTCCAGAAGCGAGTTTTCCTTTCTGCGCGCAAACAGCGCACATTGGCGTCTGTGAGCACTGTAGAATAAAATACTTAAAAAAACTTTAAAAAAAACCACGTTTTTCTTGTGGACTAAAAAGTAGAAAATAACTATTTACATACATTTGATGACAAAAAACGTGGGTACGTTCACCATCAAATTTCCCGACCCATCTGCCCGACCCACGTTTTTTGTCATCAAATGTATGTAAATAGTTATTTTCTACTTTTTAGTCCACAAGAAAAACGTGGTTTTTTAAAAAGTTTTTTTTAAGTATTTTATTTTCTCCTTTTTAGTCCGTTTGCTACACATGAAAAACGTGGTTTTTAAAAAAGTTTTTTATATAGTTTATTTTCTACTTTATCTAATGACTTGATTAAGTATGAATTGACTAAGTGTTTATAAATACACGGACTAAAAAAATCTTGAGCGACCAGGATTCGAACCTGGGTTGTCGCGGCCACAACGAGAAGTACTAACCACTATACGATCACGGCCAGCGCGCTCACATCGATTGGGGCCGAAGTAACTGTGTCAATAAGCCTCCAGTCTTGTCGGTATCTTTAGAAATCATGTCCTCAATTTTATGGTCCTTGGGGCGTAATTAAATTAAGCTAATTACGGTCTCTAATTGCTAGTTTTTATGATTGCATCTGAAATTGTTAGGCGAAAGTAACCTGCATGCCAAATTTCAGATCTATAGAGCAATCAGAAGTGGGCTAATTTTCGATGTCAATTTTAACAACAAACACACAAACGCGAAGCTGAGTTAATAAAAACGTGTTAAAATTCACAGTTGTGACCTACTTAGCCCGTAAATTACGGGGTCGCATCTTGTCAAGAATGTGCTTCTCTGGAGGTGGTCCAGACTAGACATTCTTAGACTACCAAGCAGTTTACCAAAGTCTCTCCGGGCAGCCGCTTACCAGACATCCCGGGAGAGAGTGCCGTGTGTGATGCCCTATCGTATTCTATAGTTTAAAGCAGCATTTTTCTCCTATTATTTGTGATTTTAGTGTCATTTAGTGCTTTAAGTTAATTTCCTATAAGCTGTGTTGAATTCCTAGAGCCATATCTGTGATGTTCGTTACCTAGTGATTTTTCATTAACTCGTAAGTTGGGTTTTGGGTTTATTTTGTACACTTATATTATTTTGTATAGAGCTAGAGTCATATTTTATACTTGTATTCATATTAAAAGGTTATTAATGGATTAAAGTTGTTGTTAGTCACAAGAGTTCATCGTGTTTTCCCCTAGAAATTATTCACGAGTCCACGTTGAGTTTTTGTGTCTGATACTCTTTAGGTTGTTGTCAGTAGCGTACGCAGGGGGGGGGGGGGGGGGGCTCCCCCTCTGGCCATTTTCAGCAAAGTGGCGCCTTTTTGGAAACTTTTTAAACTCAAAGTTTTAAACAATGATATTTGTTAAAAAAATATTTTTGGTCGGCACATCTATGTAAATCACAAGATTTCTTTTCATGCAGCAATTAAGCATTATTGTACTAGTCTAGTAGTGTCTACGTTTACAACACGTATTAACAACTGCATCAGTTTGCCATTCTAAAAATAACCATTACGATGCATTGCAATGTTTAAAAAACCTCTACGGGTAGTACCACTTGGCAAGAGGGGTGTTAAGTTTAAGGCAACTGTATAATGTATTTGCTTACGAATAATTGAATTAGAAAATGTTATACATAAAACTTCACACATAATTACTTTATATATGCAGTTTGAATCGTGTGATTACTTTAAAAAAAATTACAATACAGAAACAAATACAACTGATGTGGCACCTCTATTTAAAATTACTGATGAGCAAACTGCGTAGTGGTGGGGAAATTTCGACAAGGTCAACAACGTCATCATGATGAAGTAGTAGTATTCTTACAGTTTGGGTGATAGTGATTACGATTACAAATTATATGAAACAGTTACAACCCCCCTCCCCCATGGACCCCTCTGTAAAAAAAAATATTGTCATAATACCACTGCTACTTATTTAAATCTATTTATGTAATATATATTTGTGTAATATGTCTTTGTGTAATATATATTTGTGTAATATATATGTATGTTTAGAACAGTCATCTAAAAACTGACGCTATTTTCACTCTGAGTTGGTTATCTCTTCCCCCCCCCCCACACACACACCTCACCACCACAATTGTGTAGAGCGACATTAATGTCACACCTAGGTATACACTGGGTTGGATAATTGACCTAAAGTGACCGGACAGTGGTGAATGAAGTTGACCCCCCCCCCCCCCCAACGCACTGATCTGTTAAGTACATGTAGAAAAACGCGTAGTGATGTACCAAAGTACCATGCCGCAAAAAAAAAATTAGCTTTTTAAACGTAAAACTCTGTGAATATTGTTTTTGCAATTACCAGTAAAAGGTTTGTGATCAATACAGTGATCTAAACCATAGCTATCACTATGTTAAAAATGATATTTAAAGAACACAAAGAAGCAGTAGTCATTTAAAAAATATATGATCTGAACTAATAAACCGATATTTAGTTAAATGTAGGCTTTTATTCCGAATGTGTTTCTATTCTGTCGAAAAGCGTGGTTTTATACCAACTCTGATTTTAAAAACTTTCAATATGCTGTAAAACTTTAGCATTTATGATGACGATATATTAATTTATGATTATAGACAAAAACATTTTGTGAACACGAATAGTGTTAAACAATTTCATTATATTCTAAAGTAATTATTTATTTGTTTTGACATTTATAATTAAATGTGTAGATATATACATATTTATATTAAGAGAGTGATTATTT